TGTTACCAACCGGGACTAAAGGTCCTCCCTCCCCCGCCCCAGGCAGCGCCACGTGGAGGGCCTTTGGTCCCGGTTCGTAAGCAAACCGGGACTAAAGGTTTTGGGTATTAGTCCCGACCCTTTAGTCCCGGTTCGAGAACCGGGACAAATGGCCCTCTGGAACCGGGACAAATGGCCCTTTTTGTACTAGTGACTTCTCATAGAAGATACTTACAGATAGACATAATCTCCTATTTCGAAAATTAATTCTCTTCTTCGATTATCTGCATAGCTCTTCTGACGAGTTTGTGCCACTCTCAAGTTCTCTCTAATGAACCTGACTTGTTCCTCGGCATTCCTGAGCACATCTGGTCCAAAGACTTAACTTTCACCCGTTTGATTCCAGAACAACGGTGTTCTACACTTACGCCCATACAATGCTTCAAACGGTGCCATCTTTAGACTATTCTGGTGATTGTTGTTGTAAGAGAACTCCGCATACGGTAAACTTTTATCCCAACTAGTACCATACTGCAATGCACAAGCTCTCAACATATCTTCAAGAATCTGATTGAGCCTTTCTGTCTGTCCATCAGTCTGAGGATGATATGTTGTACTGAAATTCAACTTCGTTACCAATGATTTATGCACTTTCTGCCAAAAGATGGACGTGAACTGCGGACCTCTATCAGACACAATCTTCTTAGGAACTCCATGCTGACATACTATTCTTTCCATGTATAGCTCTGCCAATCTTTCCCCGCTATAAGTAGTCTTGACAGGCAAAAAGTGAGCGACTTTAGTGAGACGATCCACTATTACCCATATAGAATCATAACCTTGCTGAGTGTGTGGTAATCCCACTATAAAGTCCATTCCGACTTCTTCCCATTTCCACTCAGGAATCTTCATTGGTTGCAACAAACTAGCGGGTCTCTGATGCTTAGTCTTTACCCTCTGACAAGTGTCACATATAGCTACATACTCAGCCACATCTCTTTTCAATCCATACCAGCAGTACTTCTCCTTAAGATTTAGATACATCTTAGTACTTCCAGGATGGATAGAATAGGCTGACTCATGTGCTTCACGCAAAATTGTATCATGAATGGCTTTCACCTCAGGCACACATATCCTTTTTCCAAACCATAAGGTTCCATTCTCATCTATTCTGAAGCCAGGTGCTTTACCAATCACCACATTCTCAGCTATCTCCTTTAGCTTTTCATCTTCTAGCTGACCCTTACGTATTTCTTGCTCCAATGTAGGAATCACTTTTATCTCCATAGCACTAGCAACAATGCCAAGGTTCAGATGTTGCAACTCCGCATACAACTCTTCTGCCTCTGGTCTCAACTTAAGATTGTTGTCATATTTCTTCCTATTGAGAGCATCAGCTACAACATTTGCCTTACCTGGATGATAATGTACCTCCCGTTCATAATCCTTGATTAACTCTAGCCAGCGACGTTGTCTTAAATTCAGACCTGTCTGAGTGAATATATACTTCAAGCTCTTATGATCGGTGTAGATATCACTCTTGTGACCAATCAGATAGTGTCTCCAGATCTTCAATGCATGTAACACAGCTGCTAGCTCCAGATCATGAGTAGGATAATTTAACTCATGCTTCCTCAACTGTCTCGATGCATGCGTCCGTGGTGGTGACCTCATGTCCGCTCGCACCGTGTTCGATGAAACGCCAACGAGGGTCAAAAGCTTCGAACCACATCGGCATCGCTCGGAGTAGCAACGGGTACACGCTGGAGTGCTGGATGTGATGCTTGGCCATCTCCAACTCACGAGCGTGTAAGAGAGAAACCATGAGACAGTAATGATTTAATTTGGTTTTGCAATGTTTTTATTTTAAAAATAGTTGGTTTATCTTTGTAAAATAGTTAATTACATGAGAATTATTGAACAAAATAGTTTTTAAAGAGCAATTTGCATTCAAACAGTCTTCATTCTTAATGAAGCTACGAGTTCCCATTTGCTCTAACCAAACGATCTTCAATTTTTGCCACCACAGGAGCCTTGTATTAGCTCTTGCGGTGCGAGCGGGAGCTCGGATGTCCGTGCGACGAAGCTGATCTATGAAAGTGGCCTTGGTGATCCTGTGCCCCGGTTGGTAGGTTGGGAGACAGCAAGGATGCAAACCAGCGCCAACGATGGGCGAAGATTGCACGACGGATGAGCGGCGCTAGAGATGGAAAGTCTGCTGGAGCAGTTTAGGTGAAAGGATAAAGATGTAGTTTTCATTTTTTTTTTCTAATAATGAAAGTCGGACTCAACTTTATGGAACTGGGCCTTATGACACGTAGGGCCCATCTGAAGCTTCTAGAGTTGTTAATCCTGTGGTTGAGAATGTGTGTGACAAAGCCTGTGTTTGAGTATTTACTATCTAGGGAAGTATAAACAATTTACAATCTCAGTGGACCCATAAGCCAATATCCTTGAATGTTTTTTTTTCTGTTTGTGTGTATATGTCGCAAGTTTTCTTGTTTTATTTTAGGTTTGGTACTGTAGCTAGGTCTAGAATAGTTTTTTTTGTTCTTTTTTTAATTTCAAAAAAATCGAGGGATGTCTCAGTTTTTATTAAAAGAAAGAAATATTTGGTCCAAAGTTGAATGAGCGTGTCATGCAGGGTTAAATCACAAGATAAACGGATGAAACACATGATGCATTAGTGGATAAATCACACGGGTGATTTGAAGACAAATTGAAAAACATGATGTGTTAGTTAAATAAATAAATATCATGATACAATTATAAGTAACCATGCAATAAACTATATGTCCAATACTTGCACTCACAGGCATTTTTGCTACTATTAATAAATTGGTAAAAATCAGAGAATGCGAGGCGGATACCAAACCTAGCCAAATGGGCCGGCCTGGGTTAAACGGGCCCGAACCCCTCTTGCCCTCGCTCCTAGAAAAGCCGCCCGCCTCCGTCTCTCCCCCGCACTCCATCGCCTCGCCTCGCCTCGCCGCCGTTCCCCGCAACCCCCTGTCTGTCGACCCAATTCATCTCAGGGATATCACCCGACGCCTCGTCCTCCTCTCCAGATCAGATCTTACGCCCGCCCGCCCGAGGTGAGCACATGCTTGTACATCCCGATCAGCTTGGAGTTCGTTCCGATTGGTTGGTAGGCGCGGCGCTGGTTCGAGGCCAGCGTGGTCTCCCTCCTCCTCCGGAGTTGCTCGGGCGCGGCGCGGGTTCATAGGTGTCGGATCCAGCGCCGTCTGTATCCTATTCGTATGAGGAACCTCGGCTAGGATAGGATTTAATTAGTTGGTTTTTGTATTAGGGTAACACCACCTAGGGTTCGGTTGATTATCCGTAAGAAGGAATCAATCTGACGCTTTAGTTAGGGTTTGCTTGGTTGGTTGTGGTCAGATTTTGGTTTCTCATGAATTCTTCAACTGTGCCTGTCGCGATTTTGGGCGGAAATTGATGATTGATTTCGGGGGCAAAATCCGAGGGATTTTGTGGATGAAAGATGGGGAAACTTGGGGAAACCAAGCAAATCCATGGATCAAAATAAACAAACTTCATCATGCCAACAAATCACAAAAAAAATTTGGTGGGGAAATTTCGAATTAGGACGAAAAACAACAAGATCAAAGCTAGAAAACGAATATTAATTTGGATGGAATTCATGCTATGTTGTTCGATTTCAGTTTATGCCTGCCAGAATGTTTTAATTTTTTGTTTTATCAACTGTGTTGGAGCGTACTAGATTTTTTGTTGCATATTCATCTTCTTGCTCTGTTTGGATAGGTAACAATTAATATTTGGGATCCTAAAATATGTATGCACTGGCAGCACTTAACCTGCAGCTGCTGATTAATGTTGTAGTCATATGTGCTGCTTTCCAGCTCTCTTGTTTGGATAGGTATTTGGTTATCGTTTGGGTTTATTTATTATCGTTTGTAAATGCTGGTTTGGTTTTCTGTGCTCACTATGCCCTTGCACATGGGATGCAATTTTTTTATTTCCCTGCTGTTTAGTTTATTGTTTCCTTTGATGGTGAGGCATTAATTCTGGAGATAGATGCAATTTTCTTGCTCACACAATAATACAATGAATGATGGCATCTCTATCTACTTTGAACCAAATTATATTATATTCCCCCCTCTGTTAATTATTTTTCTGTTTTGGGTATTCATTCATTTTGTTTAGTTGCCTATCAGTATAAATACATGGCTGGATTGCTTTCACTTCATATTAATAACTATTCTGTCGCACAATGCAAATATACATATGCTGTCCTAACTAATTAAGTAGAAGCTTGGATTGGTGCTGTATGGTCTCTTCCTGACATTAAATCCTCCTCTGTTTGTGCTGTCTGTTTCTGCTGCTGCAGTCTTCTTCGCCGCCAAAAGGAAAAGATGCTCTACAAAATCCACTCCCATGCCGAAATCCAAGCCCTGCAGGCCCGCACCGATGAGCTGGGCCACTCCAATGAGCACATGGATGTGAAGCTTGTCTCTCTGGAGTCGGTGCGCATAGCGCGCGAGTCGTATGCACTCCTCCGCCCGCTGATCATGGAGTCGAGGTCCTGGGAATGCCCGGAGCTGGATTCCCTCTCGGACGTGGCAGGCTTGTCGCTGGAAATCCAAAAGCTCGAGCATGATGTGTTACCCCAGCTCACGGTTCAGGAGGCTAAGCTGGAACGGGGTGCCCTGGAAGCCCTCCTACTCATGAAGAGCTCAGCAGCTAAGCTCTTACATATGAGTAAGTGCTTGAAGGAAGCCTTGGGCGTATTGCTTGCCGAGGATGTCAAAAAGCTGAGCATAGTGCTAAGCGATACTGCTGTTCATGTACTCAAAGGTAAGTTCAACAGTGGCTTGCTTCAGGAGCGTGTCCCGTGGCTGGTCGAGCTGGTCACCGATGTGTTGGAGACCCCGGTTCGTTTCTGTGATACTCGTAAGCGTAAGTATTCTGATGAGTAGACTTATCAGCCAGCTCGAGGCTGTTGTGATAAATATTTCTTAGGGGCGTGGCAAACAGTTTAGAATCAACCCTTTATGTTTGGATGTGTTATTAATGGATTTTAAATAATATGTATCTTGGGTAGTGTTTTCTCATTCTGTGCTAGTCGGGTACAACTTGCAATTACTTTCAGTTTTTTTTTTGAGAAATACAGTCACATGGAGGTATTCGCTCTTTTTGGGAATATATGCCAAAAGAATATACTCCCTCCGTTCCTAAATATTTGCCTTTTTAAGGTTTCAAATAGACTACCACATACGGATGTATATAGACATGTTTTAAAGTGTAGATTCACTCATTTTGGTCCGTATGTAGTCATTTGTTGAAATCTCTAGAAAGACAAATATTTAGGAACGGAGGGAGTAGTATCTTAGAAAAGAAATCCCAAATATAAGTCTTTTAAGAGGTTTCACTAAAAGACTACATACGGATGAATATAGGCATACTTTAGAACGTGGATGGATTCACTCATTTTGCTCCGTATATAGTTTTCTACTAGTGAAATTTCTTAAAAGACATATATTTAGGAACGGAGGGATCTGTGAGTGTCCATGATTAAAGCTTTGCAAATACCATAAACAAAACATCACCTTGTACATATAAAGTGATGATTATTTTTACACTAACCGGTTTGGCAAGTGTTAGAGTTTAATTAACGTGTGTTAATTATGGGGTAAATCTCTCCTTGTAACTGCCATCTCTCCCGGATGCCTCTTCATCGCATCCCTTCTCCTTGTATAAATGCTTACAATCATCTAATGAAAGGGATAGAGGATTCACTTTTCTCTCAACACGTTATCAGCACGCTCTGGCGAGAGCAGAAGGCCACGAGAGATTAGGCCATCCCGGCGGTTACGGATGTTACTTTCGTCGCCGATGGCTTACAGGCGATGCAACCGGAAGCGGTTCCATTGAGCGCTCGCGGCGAGACATCTTCCGGTGACGAGGCGATGGAGCCCAGGTGCCGGCGCTCGACCGCAGCGTCCTCCAGCGCATGGTTTGGTCTCACCCTCTCCTTCCCCTTCTCCCAGACGCCGTCCACAGTGGCCGCATAAGCGGCCCTCTCCGGCACGGCCTACCGCGGCGCATCTGCGACCCCGGCCTGCTACGCAAGGCACGGCGGCGTGGCAAGCGCCTCCCGACCGGAGACTCGACGCCTATTGCGGGGAACAACCCGGCCTCGACCTCCCGGCGCGCGGAGCCCACAGCGGATCGCAGATCCTCGACAGCGGCGCACCCGCATCTTCTACGTCGAAGACGGGCGATGGAGGCGAGGCAGCCAGCGCCCGACGCGGCTCCCGGCATCCACGTGGAGTTCCTGCAGCCACGGTCCTACCCGTGGTGAAGATGGAGCGGGCTCTCCCTTCAGCTGACTGTGTGCAGCCCGCCCCCGATGGTCGGCACAGGCCTCCTCCGGCGCGGCGAGGCCCAGAGTGCGAACGGTGTCGTTTCCACCGCCAGACTACGGCGGTGGCGACCCTCGACCTGCGCTCCTTCCTCCGGCCGGCTGGTGCGCGGCTACGCGGAGCGGGACGTCGAGTACGGCCTCGGCCCGGTCCTTCTCGCGTAGCCATGGCCCTGCCCCTCGGCCTAGGTTGACGCGGACCTCCATGGCACGCGGCGCGGTGCCCGTGGCGTCGTTCAGCGTACGCCGACGAACTCCGGTGCGAGGCAACTCAGCACCGCGCGCGAGGCGAAGGCATCCATGACTGGATCTCCCGGAAGCGGCGGCGATGGCTTCTGTGTAAAGCTAACCGAATCGATTGATTCGTGTACTAATTACAGGCCAACACAGGACAACGATGGGAACCTTATCTCTTTGATGAAGGGTTTTTTTCACAAGTGGCTATGTATTTGCATTGACCATCAAATCAGGCCACAGGCTGTGCATTGGAGACCGTCAGATATCTCCATATCACATTTACAATATATGTAAATGATGATTTCAGATATACTATGTGAAAATGGGACATGTTCATCGTATTTGCTCTCTATCAATTCCTTTCAAATAATTCAGATCTTAAGTTGATGTAATATATTTCCACGTTTACCACGTGTTGAGATTAATTACGTTCATTTGCAATTGAGATTTCTCATCTCTTGCAAAGATAAATTCAATACCTCTGCAGTATTGTTTCTCCGTTGAGTACGATGTATTCCGGAATATTTAAAACTATGATTGCGATTGAGATTAAGTTTTCTCGCACAACAATATTGATTTGCGATTGAGAATTTTTTTTCTCGCAAAATAATTGCGGTTGAGATCAATTTTCTCTTGCAAAATATTAATTCACTTCGCTGAATTATCTTGCAATTTGATACAAGATCTCATTTAATTTGAGATCTATACAATTCAAGTTTTTCACTTGAACATCAAGTTTGCAACATCATTACTATTCATTATAATAGTGGTGTAGTTCTGTTGAGTACGATGTATTCCGGAATGTATGTATCTCCATGTTCACTATATGTTGAGATTAATACGTCTATTTGCAATTGAGATTTTCAATTTCTTGCAAATACATATGCAAAATTCAAGGTGATTTCTTCAAATTGATGCTTTTTTTGGGATCACAAGGTAGTCATATGGATCTACTGCCTACGCAGATTATCAATGACTACTGATAAAGCCTATATTTTGTCGTTTCGACATTATGATTGCTTCACAAAGTGCTCTCCCACCCATTTTACTAAGTTATGAAGTAAGGCATCATGAGTGAGTATCTACTGATTTCATCAGGTTATACTCCCTATGCTGCAGATCTACTTCATTTTGGAGATTATCTTCAAGATGTCATACTTAGCAATTTGAGATTGACACTAATGGTTTCAAGATAACTTCTTGAAATACCCATTGATTTTGCTAAGTTGATTACAACATCAACCACGATGATCTTTAATTTACTGCTGTAAATTAATTATCTTTGGTTTACCCATAGAGGTAACACATGGCTATAGAGTTTGAGGCATTCACCCTCAATGGCCACCACTGCCCTATCTGGGCCATGGATATCATGATCGCTCTTGTGTCTCATGGGATAATGTGTGCAATAGTGTCTTATATATCATAAGGCATTAGATTCAGATCTCAGCATCTGCTTATTCTGAATCAACAATTCCTGGAATACAATGAACCCCAAGGGCAAATGTTTGAATCTTACTTCAACCTTCAATCCGACATCACCAGCTGTGACGGAACCCTATGGGCACAGAGAGTGTGATGGTTGAATATGCCTCAATCGGCATGTTTGGAGACTATGAATAGTATCTCAATCTCCTGAGTGATCAATATAATTTATGTCCATTTACAATGTTGCAACATAAGTATTGTTGTCATCATATATTGTATATCACAATATATTGTATCAGCACTTTGATACAAATACATTTGTATGCATTCTATATATTTGACAGTGATTTTCATATTGAGAATCTTCATGTCTATATATAGTTTTCTACGGGAGTCAATCCGATGAAAAATGATATGTGCCTTGTGGACATATGCACCACAAACTTTATACTCAGGGAAGCCCAATGTTTCCACTCTCTTGAGAGAAAGGAGATATTTAAATCGCTAGACGCGATGAGGTATTTGTTGGCTCAACTCGAGTCATATTTACTATCCCTGTGGGTACTCGAGTAATGTCGGGATGCTTTATTGCTTCCCAGGTTTAACTCGTACCCTACTAAACTATGAAGGTATCCGTCAAAATAGTTTCCATAGCGAAACTTATTATGACAACAAAGAGAAATAACTTCTCTTTACCATATGCAACGGATATGGCAAATACATTCTCTGTGTATCATCTGGATTGTACTACACATACGACACAACCCGTACCACATGTCGTGTACGTGATAGTTTTCCAGAGTGTCTTGTACATGACATACTTGGCATACTGGCCTTGGTCATCGAGACATTGGGTTGAAACCGAAACTATCAGCAATTCCAATAGTTTACAATTATTATGATGCCAAATTCTAACAACATTTGGATTTTATGTGCACTACAAGTGACACAGGGAAGCTAATTTTAAGGATCGCACACCTTAAAGTCTACGCTGAACCACTCAGACTCCTTGAATGCATCAAGTTGAGGAAACCATTGGCTCATTATCCTGACATCGATTTCAAGCAAATCGAATGGATAACATTGCAACATTCTCCTTGAGTGCCTTCTCTATGGCCCTTGGATTGAAGTTTAGCAATTTGTCCTAATGTCTAGACTCCAAATGGTTTGGTAGAATCCTATCCAAATAGTTAAGCTCATTACATTATCTTTACTTTGGAATTGCAACTTACCAACTTTACGTTGGAGTCATGCAGTTTTACACGCTCATGACAGAACTGCATAATATTATTCCCCTCTATCTTTGATATGTGGATATCTACCAAGTATTTCCTATCTGCGGTAATTCGGTTGCATACCGATATCACCACCCGGCATACATCATTGGCCCCTCAACATATAGTTGGGATCTATGTGAGGAATAACTGTATTTCCGTCAATACCTCAAGCCCCTCGCATGGGGAGTTATTCAAGGCCTGTATGCTGATTCAATGAGGAACATTTCCAGGCATTAGGGGGAGATTTCAAGTACCATAAAGAATGCCAGGAAATTAGTGGAATGTTCAACACATTTCTGCCTCAAATCCACAT